GAACACTTTTTCCCCAGGGACTATGAAAAGGTAACAAGTGATTTTGAAAAGCTGTATAAAAATCACGATTTGCCCCACCTCAAGGAAAGAGCTCACAAACTCGTTTCTACTTGAAATATTTTCTTGTAATATTAGTTCGTTGTCCCAAAAGATTAACTGTCATGTCTTTCCTGCTAAGTTGTTTAATGTTCTTTAATGAACAAAACAAAAAAAACCCTGAAAAGTAACATGATTTGTGTTTTGTGCGTAGTCCATGGGCAACCATACCCCAAAATTCTATAAAACATTTGAGAAGTGAACAATGAGTTACAAAACACTAGTGAACCACATATACGTCATAAATAATTACCGGGGTTTTTCTTTTTTAAGCCAAAAAGAATTAAAGAAACAAAGGGGCGGGACCGAACCACGACTTTAACTTCTCTGATAACGACCTTTGTTCTAGTTTTTAAAATCTGCCAACTGAAAGAACAAGGTTCCCGGGTTTTGCTCACTTTTTGTGAAGACACTTTTTCTCAAACCCTTTTGCAAAAAGTACTGCCGATTACGATACGAAGACTTGCTGTTTTCCCAGCAGAGCGCTTCTTACTCCTTGGAACTCCAGAAGAGTTTAGCAAGGATTCCTCTGACACCGCCCCTGCCCCCAAAGGAGTTCGTAAATTACATGAAATAAACCCAATCCAAGTAACCGGGGAGGCAAGTTTCCCAAATCAGGACTTCTAAAATTCGTTGTCCCCGCATCCCTTCCTCTTATCCTCACCTATGCATCTCACAACAGGGCCAGTTTTCAAGCCAAGTGAAAAACTTTATTAAAAACACTCCAAGGGGCAAAGCGGACAAGGCACCTGACTCCGGCCGCCAACTCAGAAAGGTTTCAACGGGACGAGCCCCCGAGAGTTAAGAAAGGTTTTCTCCGTGCCCACTAGGCTGCAGGTCAGATCCCCCAGAACCCGCCAATGCTCCCAGGATCTGCACAAGTTTCCGCGCTCCAGAAGCTGGCTCGCAGAGCGGTCGGTGAGAGAGGGCTACGCCGGGGCCGTGGCGGTCCACTCACCTGCCCATTCTCCGAGCCGCGGGCCGACCCAGCCCTCGTTGCCCACGCACCACACCTGGAAGGCCCTGAAGAGCGAGTACGAGGCCCGCAGGGCCAGGTAGGCCACGGTGCTCGCGCCCACCCAGTAGAGAAAGCCGGCCGCCGGGAGAGCGCGCTCCATGGCTCGAGACTAGGCCTCACTACCTCCGTGAATGGAAAAGAAAAAAAAAAAAAAAAAAAAAAAACAACGAATGAATGGAGCGAAGAGGCGGAGCCGGTCGTGACAGCGACGCCGCCGCTGGCAGACGCCGCTCTTTGAATGCTTTGGACCCAAGACCCGCCCACAGCGTCATACCCATGTCGCCATTGGTGACTTCCCGTCCTATGAGCGTACTGTGTCTTCCATTGGCTAGTCTCCGTTGAGTAGCCCCGCCCATACGCCCCTCCTGCACGCTGAGCGCAGCATTTTCGTATTACGACAGTGGATCGCTCACATGCCACTCAATATTTGGCCCCGCCCACGAGCTCACATCGCGCCACCGGAGTGCAGGGATCTCTCATTGGCAGAGGCGCCCCTCACGACTACGAAAGGCTGCGCGCTGATTGGCCCGTGAGACCTAACCTGGTTTAGCTTTGCTTTTCAGGAAGGAATGGAACCGGAAAGGGAAGATTGTAGTAGAAGTCGGCATGGAGCGGCCTTTATGTTTACGCCTTTGCATTAAACACTTTCAACCCCTTGTTAGTTCTATGAGCTTCTCTGATAAAGGGTTGCGGTTCCTCCTGCCTGCGCCACACGCTTTCGCTCCAGTTTCTAAATGCCTGCCCTTGAGCTTTAGACTCACGGTTCCCAGTAATTCTGAATTGGAGACGACTCTACTCCATTAACAGTTGTAAAGAGGAATGAAAAGTATGCTACAAGAACACAGCTTGTGGAGCAAGTCTCCTGGGAAATGATTCGTTTTTAAGTAATTCTTCTTCTTCTTCTTCTTCTTCTTCTTCTTCTTCTTCTTCCTCTTCCTCTTCCTCTTCTTCTTCCTCTTCCTCTTCTTCTTTCAGAGCTGAGGACCGAACCCAGGGCTTTGCACTTGGTAGGCAAGTGCTCTACCACTGAGCTAAATCCCCACCACCACCACCCCCGTTTTTTTTTTCTTCCAAAGTACATACTTTATTTCTATCCACAGTGCCTGTTGAGCAGAGTTCTAGTTTGCAATCCAGTTTACACAACATCTCATGGGGCTGGTTGTCCTGGTCATGGGTGGAAACAAACATCATTGGCCTTGCTCAGGGAAATCATGAACATTTTCACAATTTGGAGGCCACGTAAATCAGCCCAAAGAACGATTTCCTCAACAACAGTTCCCAAAGAATGTACCTACTAACTCTCCTCTCTTTCATAGGCCCAGTCAGACTGGAATAATTTTGCGTTTCTTTCTGAGTTTTTAGCATAAGTCCTCAGTGCCCCAATGTTTCCATAGCAACAAAACTATTAACCTGCCTCTGAGTCCCTCGGCCCCATGTCTTTCACTTTTCTTCCAGGCTCCCAAGTGTCTGCTGTCTGGCCCTCTTGTTAAACCATAACCGCACTTCAGAACTTGAAACATGGTCTTGCTGCTGCTGCTGCTGCTGGTGGTGGTGGTGAATAAATTTCTCTTTCTTTCTCTCTCTCTCTCTCTCTCTCTCTCTCTCTCTCTCTCTCTCTCTCTCTCTCTCTCTCTTTCTCTCTCTCTCCTTCTCTCTCCTTCCTCCCTCCCTCTCTCTCCTTCCCTCTCTCTCTCTCTCTCTCTCCTGCTCTTCACCATTAATTTGACTGCTTTAATTGACTTATCAAGGACAGGTGGCCAAACCATACTTGTTTATGCACAAGCGGTGGCCCTAAGTCTGGTAACTGGTGGTATATGCCTTTTTATATGAGAGTGTACACCCTTGCATGGAGGCCAGAGGTTGACATGAGTGTCATTTTTATTTTTGTTTTTGTTTTGGTTTGGTTTGGAGACAGTCTCTCTACGAAACCCTGGTTGTCCTGGCAATATCTAAATAGACCAAGCTGATCTCCAACTCAGCTCTTTGCCTGCCCATGCCTCCTGAGTGCTGGAATTTAAGATGTGTGCCACAGTGACTGCCCAACATGGGATGTCTTCACCCCTCTCCACCTTATTTTGTTGAGACAGGGTCTCTCAAAGACCCGGGTACTCACCTGTTTAAATAAGCTGTGCTGTCACTGCCTCCCCAGGGCTGGATCACAGATGCAAGCCACTGCATCTGGCTTTCACATGGTGCTGGGGATCTAAACCTAGGTTCTTATGTTTGAGCAGCAAGCATTTTACCTACTGAGCCATCTCCCCTGCCCCTGAAAGGAACTTTTAAGGGGACATAAAAGTGTGATGTCTAGTAGATCACAGAAGTACTTCAGCAAAGTTCCGGGGTACAGGGGACGGTGGACACATGTAAACAAATTGATCTCTGTTCAGGCTCATCTTCTGCCTTCAGCTTATAGGTCCAGGTGCCCATTCAACATCTCCACTCAAGCTTAATACATTTATTTATTGTTTATTTTTGTTTTGAGACAGGATGTCAAGTATCCCAAGCTGATCTGGAATGGGCAATGTAGTCAAGGATAGCCTTGAACTCCTGATCCTCCTGCCTCTTCGTCCCAAGGGTTGGGATTACAGGTATGTGTCATCATGTCTGGTTTTTTAATTCAGTGCTAGGGATTGAAACCAGGCCTAGTCAAGCACTGTATCACCTGAGCTACATGCCCAACTCAAACTTAATATATTTAAAAATAGAACTCCACACCTCATATACCTCTTATAGTGGTTTGACTGAGAATGCCCCTTCATAGGCTCATATGTTTGAATGGTTGGTCTCTAGTTGATAGAACAATTTGGGAAGGATTAGGAGGTGTGGCTTTAATGTCATTGAGAGTGAATGTAGAGGTTTCAAAAATCCATGTGAATCCAACTTAGCTTTCTCTGCCTCTTGCTTTTGGATCAGATGTATGTTCTCAGCTGCTTCTTCAGAGCCATGCCTGCCTGCTGCCAGGCTCCTTGCTATGTTCTTCTGAAACTGTAAGCAAGCACCCAATTAAATGCTTCCTTTTATAAGCTGCCTTGGCCATGGTGTCTTGTTACAGCAATACAACAGTAACTAAGACACATTTTTACCTTTTCTTTTCCATCTCCTTAACTGGACCACTACTCACGATTTTTCTGGGATGCAAAACATAGGGTGTCAACCTTCCTTTCTATTAAATACTCATATCCAGTTCTTCAACAAGTCTTATCTATTCTGTGACCAAAATATACCTTGAGAGATTTCTTAGCTCTACTACTGCCAACTAATGCAAATCTCAAGTGTTTTCATCCTACAAGGCAATAGCTTCAGAATTAGTCATTCTGAAGCTGTCTTGGCAAACAGAGATTGTTGCTGTAGAATTTCTGTTATAGATATAGATACAGATATAGATATAGATAAAGATATATAGATATGAAACTGGGCATAGCCAGGCAGTGGTGACACACACCTTTAATCCCAGCCCTCGGGAGGCAGAGGCAGGCTGATCTTTGAGAGTTTGAGCACACTTTTAATCCCAGCCTGGTCTACAGAGTAAATTCTATCACAGGCTCCAAAGCTACACAGAGAAACCCTGTTTTGAAAAAATAAAGAAGAAGAAGAAGAAGAAGAAGAAGAAGAAGAAGAAGAAGAAGAAGAAGAGAAGGAAGGAAGGAAGGAAGGAAGGAAGGAAGGAAGGAAGGAAGGAAGGAAGGAAGGAAGGAAGGATCTGGGCATAATGGTGCATGACTTTAATACCATCATCCCAGAGTCAGAGATAGATGGGTCTCTGTGAGTTCAAGGCCATACATAGCTAAATGAGTTCCAGGCCAGTAAAGGCTACCTAGTAATAACTTGTCAGGAAAAGAGAAAGAGAGAAAAAAAGAAGACACGTAGAGAATCAGACACAACCACATTGGACTTCAAAATCATTTATTTATAAGATTTCAAGTTGAGAATAGTCTTTATTGTAAAAGACTATTACAATGTGAATTAACAACATTGTATTGTAGTAATACAGATTTCCATTAGAATTCATTGGCAGTTTTTCTACACTGTGATACAAATATGTACAAATTCATATCCAATTTTCACATCAAAATTGGGAGTAGCTTGTTGTATAAAAGAAAATTTCATAATCAGGAAATGTCACAGGAGTTGGGAGTTTTTAAGAATACCATCATAGCTAAACCTTTGATACAAGAACCAGACCCTTCATTACTTCTTCTTAACAGTCCCGTCATCCACTCTACTATCTGATCTTCATTTGATCATAGTTCAACATTGTGCTTGCTTTTTTGTTTTTGGCAGGGTCTCATGTAACCCAGATTGGCTCCAAAGTTCCTACACTTGAGCTTGGTTACCTCCAACCTCCAGCTCCTGAATGCTTGAATCCTAGGCGGATACCAACAAAGCCATTTCCTCTGTGCTGGGAAGCACACTTTGCACCTACTAGGTAAGTGCTCTGTCAACTGACAGAGCTACATCCCAGCTGGACACACTGAGCTATGATTCCATTCTACACTCCAGTTGTCAAATCCTGGGTTGGAAAAAAAAGTCCTATAAAAAACAAACTAATTTAAAAGAAATAAAATCTTTAGCATTAGAAACTACTTAGAAGTTACTATTTGATTTCCTTAAGCAATAACATTATCATGAGAAAAGAATACTGGGTTTTCATGTCAAGTATTTTCGTGGGCATCACTGCATCCAAACACAACAGCCCCACTCTCCCGCCAAAGAAACCAGCTCTTTGATAGATCTTCTTCTGCAAGGACCCATACGTGCTATGGTCTAGCTCTAGAAATAGACATCTTGCAAGTTCCTTTGAAGGTCCAGCAGGGATGGGCAGCTGTTCACACACCTTTGACTAAAGATAGACCTCCTTCATCAGAGAAACTCGTCTTCTTCCACCAAGTCCACAGCTTCTGGAGGGAAGGAGAAGAGAACATTAGCCTGGCCAACAAGATCAACTGAATCCACCCTGGCACTCAGTGGGTGACAGATATCACAGCCAGATCACCCTTGCAAGAAGACATTCTGCACTTAAAAACTCCAGGGCTCTTTCTGCTCAAACAGAACTTGAGCTGACATTCATGTTGCTTCTAGAAACATAGTTTTCAAATAAAACTGAGACCAGCCTATTTGAAACAAGGAATTTCAATATACAGCTTTAAGGATAGTGAGACGCCTCAGAGAGGAAAGGTGCTTGGCACTAAGCCTGATTACCTGAGCTAGATCCCCGAGATCCACATGGTGGAGAGAGCCAACTCCTTCAGGCTGTCCTCTGACCTACACAAACATGCCACGGGACACACACACACACCCCAAAACAAATGAATGAGTGCAATCAATAAATGAAAACACAGCTTTAATAGCTCTCTTAGTTTTTCAATTCCCAGACTCACACAGACTTATAAAAACCAGAGAAGTATGCCAAGCCATTTAGTACCCTTCCTGGTTGGTAGCTGATGTATCTTGACCCAGCGGCCTGGCCCCAGTAACTGCTTTACTTCATTGTATCACCAGACCTAGTAATCGCTCCAGCTATCTTACCCAGGGTACTTTCACCTTTAAAAAACAATCAGAGCCACAATTAAGTCAGCTCCAACTGGGTAAAGGGGAAGCAAACAGGGATGTTGTAGCAATGTCTTGCTGCCAGACAAAACCTGCAAATATTAGGATAGTTCTGCAAGCAACAACAGAAAGGAAAGAATACAGAGGGATGCCTTCATGTGTTCTCTTCACCTGAATGTTGTGTTTGCAATGGATTCAGCATTTGCTATTTTTGCTCATGGATTTTTTTTCCCCTCCAAAAGAATCTTGTTAAGTTGATTTCTATTGCTTTTGCCTATTTCATTTTTTTCCTCTTTATTTTCTTGGTAAATATATTTGATGCACGCAAAAAGACTATACAAAATACAAATTAGTTATAAATGGGCATGGTAGTGTTTGCACAGCACTTAGGAGGTTGAGACAGGAAGAGCCAGAATTCAAAGACAGCTTGAACTAGATAGTAGGACTCTGTCTCAAATAAACAAAAAAAAAATGTTGATTATAAAGTCAAATGTAATAGAAAACAGCAAACTAAACACCCAAGAACTGTCCTAAACACACTTTTATCACAAATACACACACACACACACACACACACACACACACACACACACACACACACACACATATATATATATATATATATATATATAGATGTCTAGATATATAGATATACAGATACATATAATAGTGTTTAACTTGTCTTATTTTTAAGCTCTGCTTCATAAGCATCATTTAGTGGATGCTGGGGCATCAGTTCAGATCTTCCTTGCAGAACTATGACATTTACTCTCCTATTAGCCAGAATGCTGGTTGCTGAAGGCTGGCAGCTGTGTCCCTCTGTGAGCATTACCCTTGGTCAGGGGAGCTACTTCACCTCCTCCTCAATGGGAACTTGCACTTCATGACTAGCAGGTGGAGACATACAAAAGCCTGGGCCATTTACTTTATGTATGGACACCTCTGAAAAACCCTCCCAGCTTCAGCACTCCTGTGACATTGCCTGAGGCCTCAATTGTAAATGGTCTCAGTTCAACCTCTTCAGCTTAACCCTTCTTCCCTCACTCTCTTACAAATGCTGTCCCTAGAGTACTCCATAATAGATCCTCAGCAAGCAAATCTCACCCTCAGCATCTGTTCCCCCAAAACCTGTTATGGGTTGCAGTGTGTCTCCTCAGAGGACCTAGCCACCCTCCAACCTGTCAAAGGCATTCCTATTTGGCAATAGGGTCTTTGTGAATATAAAGAAGTGATGATGAGTTTCAACTGGGTAGGGGTAGCTTTCAATCCAATCATCCCCCATGGAGATAGTCTGATGGAGAGCCATACAGAGAGGTAGAGAGAAAAAAGCCAAGTGATGATAGAGGGTGAGTACAGTGATGCAGACTCAAGCAGAGGGAGGCTGAAGATTGTTGACAACTACAAAAGCTAGGAAGAGGCAAAGAGCCATCACTGGACCCTCCAGATACAGGGCAGCACTGCCAACACCTTGATTTGGCATAGTTGGATTCAGAACTGTGAGAATATGTCCCTCATCCTCTGTGTGTGTGTGTGTGTGTGTGTGTGTGTGTGTGTGTGTGTGTGTGTGTGTGTGTATTATGCATGTGTTTGTGTATATGTGTGGAAGCCAAAGGTCATTATCAAGTGGCATCCTCCACTGTTCTTCAGCTTAGTTTTTGAGGCAGGATCTCTCACAGAATCTGGGGTTCACAGATTTGGATATATGCCTGACTATACTCCCCTGTGCTAAAGTTACAGGCATGTGCCACAGCACCAAGCTTTTACATGGGTACTAGGAATCTGAACTGAGTTCCCATGCTTGGACAGTAAGCACTTCACCCACTGACCCATCTCCCTGGCCCAAGAAATGTCTACTCCTTAAAGTTACATCTCTCCTGACAGGAATGAAGGTACTTTAAAGAGACATGCGTGCCCTTCTCTTGCCTAACAGACTATGGAACAATGGTCTATTGGAACTATTGACTGTTGAAACAATAGTCACCAAGAAATCGGGGTCACCCCTAGAACATCAGCTAGAAAGAACTGGCTGAAGTGTGAAGCCAATCAGAAGGGAATTTGTCTCCTGGAACAACTTGTCAAACAACTTTGCAAGAGACTGGAGTAGAGATGAAGATGGATCAACAATGGGTAGGACCATGCCTTGACTTGAACAGCCTAGTTATTCATACTTCTTGCCTTCGATATAAACCTAACCCTCAAGACCCCAAAGATGGACTTGGAGGGTCAACTGGACCACTTTGTCCCTCTTTCAGATATTACCACATCTAATGAATAATTTCTTCTCTGTGTTTCATGATTGCTTGTCTCTTTAATTGGAGTATTGACAATAGATGGGTTTGTTGATCCTTACTTTGTTGTGGATGCCAGGCCCCAGGTACTCTGATAGGAACACTCTGGTAACATAATGGGACCAATCTAACTCCATCTTGTAGCAAAACATCATTTGTAGCTGTTCCATGTATCCAACTGTAGCACACAACAAGCAAGTCTTCCCGAAGTTGGAGAAGTCACTGCAGAGATCACCAGAATCTCTGATACGGACAAGGAGGGAGCAGATAACATAAGACACACAGATAACAATCCCAGAGTCAGACATCATCTGCCTTACAGTGCCCAAGCTTGTAGTCATGTCTACTGCTTTAATAGTAGATAGAGTTCTAAACCCAAGTTTACATTAATTCTCTGTAGACTTAAATATGAAATAGTAACTTGGTGAGCCAGGAGCAAGAACCTTTTAGTAGTGTAGCTGCCTATTAGCTATTCATGCTTCTGAAAGTAATCTTGTGGTGATATATTGTGTACTCTAATAAAATCTCTGTCCTCTGCCTGAAGGTCAGAGGACAGAATAAGCCACTAGATTAAACATAAATGCCAGGGAGTGGTGGCACACAATCCTAGTACTCGGGAGGCAGAGATCCATCTGGATCTCTGTGAGTTCAAAGCCACCCTGGACTACATGAGATTGACTTAGTCTAGGAGAGAAAACAGAGCCAGGCAGTGGTGGCACACACCTTTAATCACAGTACTGGGGAGTACACACGCCTTTAATTCCACAAAGTGATGGATGGGCGGAGAAAGGTATATAAGGAGTGAGGAGACAGGAAATAAAGGTTTTTCAGAAGTTTCCCTTTCAGCTAGAGGCTCTTTCAGGCTGAGGAGTTGGTGAGGTAAGAGGTGGTGGCTGTGACTTTCTCTGCTTCTCTAATCTTTCAGCTTTTACCCCAATATCTGGTCTGGGGTTTTTATTAAAAGACCATTTAATATTTGAGTTACATAATCCTAATAAATTCTTGTATTCCACCAGCCTGGACTGGTTAGAGTCTTTCTACAGTCTGCCTTTGCAGTTCAGATCTGGGGTACTGTGGGGCGTTTACCCAACCACCCCCACAGTTCCCCTGAGTTTTCTTGAGTGCGAGCAGCAGGAAATATTAGATAGAAGGATTTATTGCGGAGAATATCGCGGACATAAACAGATAGAAAATAAAGGCTAGCCTCGAGAGGGCCTGGAACCTATTCCAACGGGCCCCGACTGTCTCTGCCCCAGGGTTTTTATAGACACGCCAAGGGGTGGAGCAAAAGACCTCCTCCCCCAGCACAGCCAAGTGCAGACCATCTCAGTCACCTGCACTGAGGCCCGTGGTCCTAATCATCCTCTATGCAGACCTGCTGGGTAAAGCCACGAGGAACCCGAGAACGGGCTCCCACAGGTCCCCCTTTCTTAATATATAAAAATAACTATTAATGGCTTACAGCAATCTACATAGCTGTTACACCTCCATTTTTGCCTCAGGGAGAAATCACTTTCTCCTGCTGCTTGGACTTAGCATTTCAGCTGTCCCCAGGTCAAAAGCTTCCATAGGAAACTTTTTCTTCCCCATAAGCTCAAACAAGAGCTTTTTTACTACCCAAAAAGCCCAAAGAAAGATTTTTTTCCCAGTTTGCATTTATAGCCCCCAAAGTTAGAAAATTGTAGTTTTTCTGTCTAGTTGCCTTACTTATTTTTTCCTACACAATCTTACACTTCTAAGTTTTTCCTAAACTATATTACTACGCTATACCTTATATTTTTCACAGATAGAAATTGAGAAAGGGATAGAAGATAGAAAATTTTGACAGAAGAGAATTTCGCTGCAGCATCGGACATCCTTCCAGTCCGTTTTCCTTTTCTCTCGAGGATAAAACCCCTGCCTCTCAATATATATAAAAAATATATATTTTCCATAACACCGGCATGCCTTATCCACTGGCAGGGCTGACTCAGCACTTTTGCCAAAAACTCTGTAATAAAACTATTATTTTCCTTTATCTTTAGTCCCTATTACTTTGTCTTTAGTCCCTGTTCATTTGTCTT